AGCTGAATGGTTTAAAAAACTGGAAAATTTATAAAACGTATAGTAAAAAATTAATCTATTTCTATCACTATTTATTTTAGAAAAAAAATTAGCGCCGGGAGACACGTATAGCCGCCCATACTAAAATATGTTAATAAAAAGTTGGTAGGCAGTTCTTTTAGTTTGGTTTGTGAGTAAAGTAAAGGAATTTTTCCAATTTTTTTTATATCAAAAACTACGACTTTGACTGATTTTGATGTTATTACAAATTTTGTTGCAAATAATATTCCTAATCTGTAATTGAAAACCAAGTTTAGCCAAAAACCAATTAGCGGTTTTTGAGTTATCGTGTTACAGACGGACAGACGGACAGACAGACGGACAGACGGACAGACGGACAGACGGAAAGACACCATGAAAACATTTTGTATTTAGGTTATTTATAATAATAAATAACTCATTTTGAGTGAAATGATAAACCTTTTTTTTGCCGATCTTAATAGCCTACCATACCTATTGGTATGGTAGGCTAAAAATGATTGAAAGTACAATATTCTAAATTTAATTCTCTACAAAAAACATATCTTTATTTTTTTCGAAAACAGTTATGTAAACGGAGATATTTGAAAAAAACGAAAAAATCCAAAATGGCGGCGGTTTTTTTCAAAATTCCCCCACTGGGACCGAATGGGACTTTTGAGGAGTTAAATTGGAGATTTTTTTTTAATCTACACATTCCCGTTGATATTGGTTGGTTACTAATTTTTTCCATCTCAACCTCCAGATTTACCGGCCTATTCTCACAAAAGTAGCAAGTACAGAAAAACTCATTACGCCACTGGATTGTGTTTAAAAAACGACTTTAAAAATGTTTTTATAGAATGTTATTATTCCGCAAAAATAACATAAAATGATAAAATTTAAAAATTATATTAAAAAACTAACAGAACAGAATTACTGAAATATAGATGTATACTTAAAAAATCTATTCATATTAAATTTATTCTACATAGTATAATGCCTTTTCAACTCACGTTACAAACCAAACTAATTTGAAGAATTAAAACTGAATATGAAACACGGTTATGGCGGCTTTTATTAAAACATTCTGCAGTTTTAAAAGCGGCACTGCAGCACTCCCGTCTACATTTACTTAATCATTTATTTTTGCACCACTTTACCCGGGATACAAATGAGAGAAAACACTTTTGTTTTACTAATTATGCTTTTTGAATTAGAACGTAAATTGCTGTTAAGAGGAAATATTACTAATTATTATATTAATGCAGTTCTTTTTACAAATAATGGAATATTTTATTGATGACTGCGGTCTATTAATTGTTAGGTGTATCGTTAACGCATATGCGTGGGTGATTTTATCATTTTTAATCTAAGATTCTATATAGGTATGTAGAATGTAGAATAAGTGGGAGGGGGTTGATCACCGCGACCTTATACAAATCAAGTGTATCGTCCTTTCTTGAGTTCTTCTCATTCCCCTCACATCTATGAAAAGAAATTGCAGCTATGCCTCAATAACTTGTGTAAATGGTGTCTCACTCGGGCTTTTTCTTCTCTCCTTTCAAATCCTCATCTGTGCACTTTTGTAGAAAACGCAGCTACCCGAGGCTACATCAACTTTCTCAAACCTGCCCATTGCATCAAAATCTTCTGTGACATTTCTAGGACTTCATTTTGACTACAGACTCTCATGGAACGAACACGTAACCAATTTAAAAACAGATTGCAGTAAAACCATCATCATCATTAAATGGATATCCCACTCAAAATTTAGCTGCGCCCAGTCCATACTCTTTACATCACTTTGATACCTCCTTTACATCACTTTGATAAGATCTTAACTGGACTACGGATCCATAGTCTCTTTATCTAGTCAAAATCATATCTTACTAAACTTGATGTAATTCAAAATAACTGTCTTAGACTCATTTCTGGTGCATTCCGTTCCGTGCTAGTCATATAGTCCTATTACTAGTTTACACAGTTTATTGGGTATATTGCCTCTTAAACACCATTTGCTTTTTCAATACGCTATGACACTTAAATTCAAACCATTTCTCCCAACGTATAGTTCCTTTTTTCGACCACTTGTTTCTCCCAACATTATACTTGATTCTAGATGCGATAGTCCAGGGCATTTTTTTCCAATCTTTGCAAAGTTCACATCACTATTCCTGAATACATGCCACTTCGAAATGTCACCACTCCTCCATGGGAATTAATTACTCCATCAAGTGAATAATACACTCATCAATCACAAATTTAACGGTATTATTCAAGATCTATCTCCAGATAATATAATATACACGGACGGTTCCAAATTCTCCCAGGCGGCAGGATCCGCTGTATTACATAAAAATATGTTTTATAAATATCGCTTGCTTCCTACCACCAGCGTCCTTTCTGCCGAACTTTTTGCTATTAAGGAATCACTAAGAATAATCTCCAACTTACCTCCTTCCAAATGGGTGACATGTTCAGATTTACTAAATCCATTACAATTCCTAAACGAATTATTACCAAAATATCCTCTAGCAGTTAAATCGATCGACTTGCATCATCCCTCAATATCTTAAAGTTCAACTGTGGATCTAGTATGGATTCCTAGTCTTGTGGGAAATAAAGGTGATGAAGTTGCTGATAAGATTGCTAAGACTACGGCGAATGATGGAGATTTTATACCATTTGCATTTTCTATCTCTGAACTTAAATTTCTACATATGTCCATAATAAAAAGTGGTATTGATGTAGAGTGGGAAATAACAGGAGACTCAAATAAACTATATAAATGTAAACCACAATTCTTCCAAGCTTCTGTAGCTCGGTCATTATCCAGAAATGAAGAAGTCATTTGGAATCGGCTCAGATTGGGCCACTGCTATTTCTCTCAAACTTTCCTTTTAAAAGGCGACCCTCAGCCTAACTGCTCTCTTTGTGGCAACCAATTAACAGTGTACCACGTCCTAATAGAATGTCCCTCCTTCATTAACCTAAGTCAATCATTTAGTCTGAATCTGGCTTCCGTACTTGATGCTAATAATCTACAGTCTTTGTTCCAATTTATTAGGACATCTGATTTGGGTTCATTAATATAGTTTAATTTAACTTTAATTTGATCAATGCCGCTAAATGGCTCAGCAGGTGATGCGGCTTATACAAAATCCTTCCTTCCTTCCTTTCTTGAGTTGTAAGTTATCATACAGTCCCATTCGCCGTTTTTTTTTCTTATAGTACAGGACCCGGCTTCAGGATTATTAAGCTCATCGTATTTTTAATCAAAACCTAATTTTTACGTATATTTATAAATAGGAGAATATCCCGTTATATAGTCAAAGGAGAATACACTTTTAACTTTTAACAGGGTGCCATCAAAAAATTTGCCGCAAGTATGTTTAATTATTGTTTAATTATTAATAATAATAACGATGTACTTAAACAGCCGTTAAACGGTAGCCTACTAAAATGCCGTTAATAGATATTGTGCCGTCGTTCATGTCGGCGGAAAGTAATGCCTAGCCCATTCTTTACGAATCGCTTCGTAAACGAATGGTCCGTGGTTCAAATCTCACGCCGACCAAGACTTTTTTATATTTTTTTTGCTTATAGCGTGATCTTATTGCATTGGTTTCACTCTTTTTAGTTGGATTGGTTTAGTTATTTGGTGGGTTGGTTAGCGTGGTTATTTGGATGGTGTTAATTCATTGGTTAGTTGGTTATTTGGTGGGGTTGGTTGATTTTTACTAACTTATATTTGTTTTTTATATTTTTTATCAGTCTCGAGGTTAGTTGCGTTGGTTAGGTTGGTTATTTGGTGGGGTGGATAGCGTTGGTTAGTCCTTATAAAATTTCTATATTTCATAAAGCCGTCAAGTGCGTCACATCAACGACGTCATACCTATTAACGGCATTTTAGTAAGCTACCGTTTAACGGCAGTTTAAGTACAGCCTAATAATAACTGATTTTGGATATGACATTACGCTCATAAAATTCTTTGATCATTTGTATGTCAAACTAAAACTATTTTTATTCTGTGTATGCTATAAGGGGGCCTATCAAAAATTTGCCACAAATAAGGGCTGCTATAAATAAATAAAAAAGGAGTGATTTTGGCGTTTTTAAAAAAAATATTAAAAATACAAGAAATCTTCTGAAATCAAAACTATTCTAAATATTTATTGTTGTTTACTTTTGTCGTTTCTTACTTTGCTATAAATATTGTAATCTTAAACAATACAGGGTGTTCAAAATTCTATGGCAAACTTTCTAAAATATAAAATGATTTTTCTTCGTTTTTTTAATAGTGTATAATATTCCTTTGTTAGATGGAGAATTAAGAAATAATTATTTTTCGAATTTAAAGTATTTCATAATTTTTGACGGTTTCGCAAATATTCGCATTTTTATTAGGTACATATGGTTTTAAGAAATCATCTAGATTTACTCACACTTTTTTGAGCCACCCCGTAGAAGTTAAAATAATTTCCTGAAATACATCCATACAGGGTGGTCCGAACTGAATTCCAGAAACTTTGGCAGCGTATTCTGCAGATAAAAATAAATACAAAAATTCTTATAAATGTATGTCCTATCTATTTTTTCCGAATAATTTCTGAAATAACGTCAATAGGTGGATGAAAATTGGAAGTTTTTTGACATGAGAAATTTGATTTTGATGTCAATATGACTTCTATTTGTAGGGGGCGCCACCTACATGTGTTATAACTGTTTTTAAGAGTAATAACTTTTCGTTCGTACTTGTATAAAACAGTGGAAAAATATACATTTCCGTGGCACTAAAATCACAATTATTAGGAGTGAATCACTCAATTTAAACTTCCCTGTACAAATATATCGAAATTTGAAAACCATATCCTGCATGAAAATATCGTGAAATAATTTCCTGTCGACCCTATCCCTTACGTTATCCCAGTTATTAAATAGCTTTTTCGGGATCGTGGAGCGGAGAGTGCTTTTACTTACTCTATTTTATTTATTTCAGGAACTCTCATCTCAGCTGCAGGAAATGGACGAGCGGTCGAGCGGCTGGTCTCCGTGGTCCGAGTGGTCGGCCTGTTCCAGGTAAGTGTTGCCACATGTATTTCCGGCATTTTTTCGTGCGGCTTATGTTTTTATACTACAAATATTTAACATTTTATCTTGGATATTGTTCTTTTTTGTCCGATAAGAAAATACTAAATATTTTATTCAACCAGGAAGTATTTTTCCCAGGCTAGACATCAGAGATTCCAATATACAATATGTCCCTGGATTGTTTTTACAAAAGGGCATACATTACATTATTTATTTTTGATTCTTTTAAAATGGTTATTTCAAAAAAATGTGCTTGATTTAAGTCCTAAAAATCAAAACGCCTTTCTGTTTTAATATAATTTCTTTTTCATTCTATGATAGGTGGTTAATATGATTTTTTTATCAACTTCATATTTTTTGCTGTTTTAAAATGCTGAAGAAGGACAAAATTTGTTTAGTTTAATATACTACGGAAAATGTGATACTTTAACAACAGCAAAGAATATGACATTAATCAAAATTAATAATAACCATTTATCAAAGAATGAAATCGAATTGATATTACCCTAGAAAGGCATTTTTATTTTTAGGTCTTAAGCTTTATTCAGAACCTCGCAATTAGTAGAATAAATTAGTGGTTTCAATTACACTTTATAGTTTTTAGTTTACGATCATTCACAATATCTCAAAAACACAATTAAAATTAATAGAATATTTTAGCATCAGCTTGCAGTAATCAGTTGTATCCATAGAGAAAGCCTTAATATTTAGCTTTTAAAACAATAAACTTTTGGTTTCTAACAACATTTTCTCTAAGTATAATTAGTGGAAAAGTGAAAAGCTTGTTTCAAAACTTTTTCTATTAGATGAAAATGACTACCACTAATTTTGACGCTCTGAATGCCTACATTGAAATTAGAGGAACGAACTTCTACGCTAATAGGCTCTTTCACTATATTTTGGAATTAGCATAATTGAATAAAGCAATTAATTCTAGAATTTTCTGGTATCTCACTTTCGAAAAATTAACCCAGAATAAAAATCCGCACTTTATTTTTAATACGTCACACCTGGCATATTGAAAAGCGGCAACACTGCTGCGGCCGGGCCCCACCATGCTGACCCACCACCACCTCCAAACAAGGCATTCAACCTTTTCCAATATGGCGGAGATAGAAGTGCTTTATTTTGCGCGTATTTTAAAACCTGTTTTATTTCCAAATAGACATTTTTCACACAAATGTCGGGTTAGATTAATATACAGTCTAAATATTTATAGCAAAGTTCTCCACATAAGTATGGAATTTTTTGTATTATTACTTTTATGAAAACATCAGTTAGTTACTTTTTATAAAAAGGTCTGCTTTCTCAGAAAATAGGTAGTGTTAAAATATTCAAACTTGAGGTAGCATATATAGGGTGTTCAAAATCATCGGAAAAAGAAATAACCAGAAATATATGACAAAAAATAGCAATATAAACTAAATATTCAATTCCAAACACTCACCTACCATAGTTTAGAATTTACTGAACGTTTGATAAATATATATTATTATGGACAATATAGGAAGTTACTTGTCTTAGTAAAAGCCTTGGTAAATGCTCTTGGAATTATAAACTACACTGGCTTGGGTCAAAAAATATGGAATATTTAACATTGAAAATGTTTCTGTTATCCTATATAAGGGAGCCCAAATCGAATTAAAATGCTACATTTGCCACACCATGACGTCATATATACAAGTGTATAGGAAATCGCGGCGCAGCGGCGGCAGTCGGCCAGCGCGCGCAAAAACCATTACATCGCTAATTGTTTATTGATATATCTTTATTAGTTTAAAAGCAAAAAATATGGGGTTTGCTTTGATACCTTGTCAAGACATGAGCGAAACTTTTAAATTGTTTCTTTTTTTCATTTAGGCCTTCGTTTTTCGTTAAATGAAAGTTATATTAAAAAAAAATCTCTATTTTTAAACCAAATTTTCGCATGATTGAAATGATTATTCATGTTTAAAGTTTTTTTTTGGTCATAAGCGCTAATGGAAATGTTTTTTTGTAAATAATTATAAAAAATTACTCCCTACGAAGACTTTATTCTGTACTGGATCAAAAAATAAGTATTTGTTTTCTCTATACGGTGGTATTAATATATCGATTTTTGATGATAGTGCCTTTTTACCCTGTTTAATTTTGTACTACTTTCGGAATAAGGGTCCCCATATCATGTACTGTGATGTACTGTACTTCCATCCCTGAAAAATTCAGCTTGTGACACCGAAGTGAGAGGTAACGTCAAAATAAGCTTTAATCTACCTACATCATCATAGGTAGGTGTAGGTACTCTAGGTAAATTCTACCTAGACAGTAGCTGAACTAGCTGACAGTAGTAATTAATTTGTTATCCGATAAGTAGTTGTCATTATATAAGTTTAATCGTCTTATACCTCCTATAACGGTAGGTTTTGGATTTTTCCTGATTGGTTTGTTAAACAAAAATATACTGGGCATATAAATGTCTGTTACAGGTTAATTCGTTAAAGAAATATGTTACACACATATTATTTTAATAATAATAGTATAATAGTAATGGCTATATTATGTTATAACACATTATTGAATTAACAATTGAAAACAGTATTGAATGTACTTATTTTAACCAATGCATTGTTTTGTTTTTTTAATCTCACAAATAAGAAATATTTTATAGTTTTTATTATAAAAAACAGTGATTATACAATTTATTTACACCCCTTACACTGTTTTCTGTAAGGGGTGTAACCAGGAGTATATTTCGTAACCTTTTACGATATAAGAGGGCACAAAGTGTTTTATTACTTAATGCTTAAAATTTAATAATATATTTGTACATAAAATAAAATAGACTAGAAAGTCAATTAATTAATATTGACGTAATTACTAAATAAGTACAAGATTTTTTTTCTAATTATTTTAGTGTATTTTTAGTCACCGAATTATAAAGGAGAGATATCCAACCATTGCATTATTTTACTCACAAATAAATGTTTTATGGTTTTTATTATAAAACAACGATTAATTTATTATACACCCCTTAACCCAAACACTCCAAGGAGGATATTTCGTGACCCCGTATTTAAAGTGGACAAGGTTTATTAGTCAATGTTTTAATTACCCAGCGTCTTTAATAAAAATCTAATGTAATTTTTCATAGAAATGATCTGACATGAAAAGCAAATTTTATCAAAAAACTTTTTGATTATCTACAAGGAGTAAACCGCTGACAAATGTCTGTATACTAATGCCAAAGTAATGCCAAAAATACAAATTAAATACCAAAATTTCTCATATAATGCCCCACTAATGCCAAGCTGATTCCAATATAATACCACTAATACCACGAATAATATGTAACACATTTGTTTCACGAATTAACCTGTAACAATACTGGTAGGTACGTGCACAGATTTTTTCCTAGGTAACTTAAAAGTCGTTAAAAAGTCTAATTATATTTAAAGAAGATATAATTCCAACAAATTACATTATAAGGCCAATAATGCACAAGTAATACCATTAAAATTTTAGCGTTTTTAACTTGTGTAACATATTTCTTTAACGAATTAACCTGTAACAATAGTGGTAGGTACGCGCACAGATTTTTTCGCTAGGTAACTTATTAAGTCGTTAAACAGGCCTATAAAAGCTATAACAACATAGGTAACTAATATTTATAATTTAATTCGAGTTTTAATCTCAAATAATAAATGTTTTTACTGGTGTATTTCTGAAGTGTTCATTATTAAAAGTAGTTATTCTTCAAGTTATGCGAAGTAATAAGTAATGTTTCCGGTGAGACCGCGTATATGTCACCGGATTCTGGTTAGTATAAAGACTTTTTTCTATAGAAAGAGTTTTTCTATATTTTTTTTTTCAAAATAAGACTAATTTCTTCTTATTCTTTTAAATATTACAGTGTTTCTTTTTCCTAAAATGTTATACTTAATTTTCGCTTAAAATTAAAAAATCACCAAATGGAGGAAAATATACTTTATTGAATAAAGTTTATAAAAATCATTTTACCATAACAAAAAAGTAAAAACATGTCATGGCGGAAGATACTCAGGTGGCATTTCACATATTTATCTATTAAAATCGAGATTAAGATAATAAACTTGCGTAATATGTTATAAATGAGATAAAAAGTTTCAGAATCGATTAATACGCAATACGCTACGCAGTCAACTTGCTCCTCTGCGCGGATGAGCGTCTTCAGACTCCTCCATCAGCCAGGGTCACGACGCGACGCCGCACGCCTCCGAAGAGGAATCGGCCTACGTTTGGCTAAACAGGCTGGACACTGTGGACTACGATATTGGCGAGTCTGAATATTTATAAAAATTTGCAAAGTAAAATATGTTGGAAAAATAATTAATCCATACATATATAAAACCTCAAAGGTTTTTTTTGTTGCATCCATCCCGCCGAAACCGCTTCACCAATCTTGATGATTCTTTTTTTGAATGAAATGTATATATGTGTAGATTTGTTATGAAGTATTTTTATAGTGCTTAATGGCTATTTCTTTGTGTAAAACGACTAAATACTAAAACATACCTGAAAACACCTACACACAATACCTCCAGAAATAAATTATTTGTCATTGTCAGTGGTGTGTCAGTTAGATTATATTTTAAGTTTTTAGATATTTTAGGAGTGAGTTCATACCGCCAGGTTTAGATACATAAATATTAGCACAAAGGTTCGTTTAAACGCCATTAGTGAATTAGCTACACAAAGCGATTTTAGGAAATTCATCCTCTTAGAGAGTAAAATTATGTCGGAACAGTTTGCTGTATGAAAATTCCTTACTATTTGGTCTAGAAGAATGAAATCCTACAAAAAGAATTAGAAGAAATTTTTGAAATTCATCAACCAAATGGGTAAAGTTAGTAAAAATTTATATAAAACTTGGTGACCTCAGGATTATACACATAAAAATTGGCACAAAGATAAAGCTAATTTATGAAATTTATACACTTAGGGAGTAGAATAGGGAATGAAAATTTGCTGTACGAAAATGCAATACTATAACATTATAAACCAGACAGTATAAAATTTTATACATGGGTTTATTTAGTGACATCATAACGAAATATACCTTCCTCAATTATCCTTCAAAGAATAAAAAATAACCTATAAAGAGAGTATTAGTGCTCTTAATAAATAAAAAAAAGATGAAAAATAAAAAACATCTATGCTCACTAGCTATAAAGAAGTAAAAAATCATTTAAATCAATGCATGAACGATTCGAGGTGTAACGCGAACGTAGTCGCGCGAAAAAGCTAGTAATTTATTAAATTATCTTATTTAACTCATTAATTTTCATTGAAAAGGAATTTTTGTAATTCGCCACTATATTAGTTAAAAACTAAGAAACTCATATCAAATTTAAGTTTTGCGATTTTGACTTATACTTTTTACAAAATCTGAACACGTTTTAAAAGAAAAAAAGTTTTTGATAATATTTGTGTAGATTGACTACAAGTTGTATAACATAAATTTCTACGACCGGTCTACCTAGTGGTCTGCAGCATCGCGTTGTGGTGCAAACGTTGGCCTGTTAATCTGTGACGTGACGCACAACAGCCAAGAAAAACAGAAGCGTGGCTAAGAATTTAATAATTTAAAAAAAAAGTCTTTTAGATACAGTAGTAGGTATTAAAAAGTTTTGTGTTTAAATGGGGTTTGCCTTTAACATTAAAACATTATATCGTAAAGTGTAACTTTCCGTAAGAATTCTTTTTTTTTTGCTTGCTTGTTTTACGGATAGGTGCAATCGCATAATTATTATTGATAATGTTTCATTTAATTTTAACATTACTACTTTTTCAGTGAATCTTTAAATCTGTTGTTTTTTGTTAAGTTCGTTATTTAAACATATGTATGTAATGTACGTTATTTAAACATATGTATGGTATGGTATGTATGTATGTAATACACTCATATTAACACTAATCATATTTTTACGTTTTTATTCATGATTTTCAATGCCCCCCCGGTTGCATCTTTGTAAAGGACTGTGAATTTTTTTTCTATGTTTTGCAGCATTACACAAATGGGAATAAATTTAAACTATAATAGGTGAAGATAAATAAAAAATATAATATGTGTTTCAAGATTTTATATAGAAAAAAAAAAACTAAATACTTTTTTGGGGGTTCGTAAGTAAAACTTACACTTAGCTTAGTTTTCTTTACTCTTTCTCTTTACATAGGGCATTGTCTTTGTGGTAAAGACGTCATTCCTTTTTTTGCATAGTTCTTCAATAAAATATTGGATATTCTGAACAAGATGGGTTTAATAATAAATTCTGACATATGTGAGCGGCAATTGTGACCTAAAAAAAGACTTACATCCTGATCTACTACGTGATCTTTTTGATGTAAAAAGCTTGATTTTTCTTCCAATATTTTACTTATAGTGAGGTAAGTGTAAGCAGTAGCCATAACTACATCCTCACTAGGGTAACAGAGGCTTTCGCCTTTGGCCTTTTTGAGGCATATTTAATGCACTTCTTCCCCGAGAACTACTAGTAGGAGTGAAATTATCTCTTTTAATAGCTGTCAACCATTTTTTACGAAGCTCGTCATTTTTGGGGAATATAAAAGCAGAAACCTTGGGACCCCCTCTATAATTCCCGTGACAATTTGGAACAGAGCATGTAAAAGGCATGCTACAATAAAATGTTAATACCTACCCTTTAATACCTATCTTTTGATTATTGTAAGTAACCATTATAAAGTACTATGCAGACTGGCGGCGAAGGCTTTTTACTCATTTAGGTGTAATATCTTGATAAATATTTCTAGTTCTTACCTTAAAATAATTAATAATAGAGGAGTACGACAAGCACAAAAGTTTGAAGTTCTCTATGTGGAATGTCTGGTTTGGATTTTTATTACACTGTTATTTTATCACATTTTTCTGATCACACCATGCACTGAACACTAAGATCTACACAAACGTGTTGCAGAAGCACAACAAACTAAAGATAATTAATTATTTCTGGTATGCAATCGGAACGAGAAACCACTACCGGCTTTTCAGGTTAAAGGTAAACAATTTAATAATGCGCTGCCTTCGCCGCCATATTTGCCTTGCCCATATCATGTTGATTAGCCTTGAGTTGAGGTGGTGCTGGTCAAATCAAATCGCAATGTTGCCAGTTGTTGGCTGGCGCACGAGCACGGGTCTGCAATGTGACTGGGCGTATTTTTCATACGTCATCAATTGGCATTTTAAAATTATTTTAAATTAAAGCAATTTTGAGGGCCTATAAAAAAATTATTCAATGTCATGGAACTATTTTTTTTTTGGATAAATTACTGAAAATATGTTCTAATTCAGATTTTGTCCTTGAATTGGTATTTTATTTTTTTTGAAAGAGCCTCATTGAAAGCACTAATTTATTCCACTAATTGCGAGGTTCTGAATGAAGCTTTCAGCTTCAATCGGAACATCTACATTGGTAGAGTAGACGAGAATACATTAGTGATTTTAATTACACTTTCTACCTATAATTTATAATGTCTAAAAAATACAATTAAAATTAATAGAATATCTTAGCAACAGCTTGCGGTAGACAGTTGTATCCCTAGTGAAAGCCTAATAATTAGCTTATGGAACAATACACTTTTGATTTCTAGCCACAATTTCTCTTGGCGGATGATAATCACAGGCCAAAATGACATTAGTCGCAAATTTTGAGAACTTATAATTAGTGGCAAAAGTTATAACTATGTTAACTTTTTCTACTAATAGACAATTACTACCACTAATTTTTTAACGTTTTGAATACTTAAATTAAATGAACAAACTACTACTCTAATTGAAACCACTAATTTATTCCACTAATTTCGAGGTTCTGAATGAATCTTTATTTCTTTTATTTTTCTCTGTATGTATTTATATTTAACTGTATGGAAATTTGTAAAAGTATAAACGGGCTTAACGATTTTATAAGAACCAAAACTTTTATAGAGAATTTATTTTTTTCAAAATTTTAATAACATAAAAGTTTTTCCTCCTGTAAATATATACCGGGGACATACTGTATATGCACTGAAAAAAAAAACTAAAGAATGAGACAAAATTTTGTCTTTTGTTACGGAAATGACATCATCGTAGCATCCATTTTGATACTTTTTTTGTCAGTTTGGTTTAACTTTGATTTTAACATTTTTTTTCTGAATTCGCTTTTCCCTGTGTATTTTGTATTTTTTTGTTTATTTTATTATTAGTTTTATGCAAAGTGCATAAATCTGAAAAACATATGTTGGAATTCTCGTATGCTTATTGTGAATGTAATATTTAACATAGCAGCTATAATAAAACTAAGTACTTCACGGTCTCACCAAATTTTTTGATATGATTCTTTCTTTAGTCTTTATATTCAGTGAATCATAAAATGAACAAAACACCAACAATATTGAACATTTTTGCGGTTTAATTTAAGGTTACTCTTTTAAATAAAATTAAATCAATGAAAAAAGATAAGGGCGTAATTTTTAAAAGATACACGACAAATTTTAAGAAATAAATACACGACAAATTTTAAGAAAAGTAGGTATCATTTTTCCTAATATCGACAACGATGTTTCAGATCTTGCGATGGAGGCGCATCTCATCAATTACGGTCTTGTAAGAGCGGCCCTTGCAGAGGTGAACACGTCCGATATAAAATATGCAACATGCAGGTAAATATAAGCAATTTTTTTTATCTTAATAATAAAATTGTCTAACGCATTTAATAGCATACTAGATAATGAGAAAAACATGGCAAGATGACAGAAACAAAACATCAAACGAAAACGGCCAGTAAATATATACATGGCAAGAATAAAATTATATTTATGACAATAAAAGTTCACTTACCGGCACGAAAATTGGACACATTTTGATGTATTTTAAAGTTTAATATATTTTGTTCTAGTGGGCCGATTTTGATGATTTTTTTAAGCAATATGTAGCTAGGTTATTTGACTTTTTAGAATTTCTTTCTAAAATAGGAATGAGACTTTTCATCTGTAAATTATACGAGGGAAAACAAAATGTTAATATTTTGTGAAAGTTTGGAACACCCTGTGGAATGTGTTTAAACATGTTTAAATCTTTTTATAATCTTGGTACATCCTTTCTCGATAGTTTGTTTTTTAATTCATCTCATTAGCTTTATTTTTGTTGAAGATAGGTAGGTATTTGTTTTTGAATAAGACTTGGTCCCAAAGTAGGCTTTCTTGAAAATTTACTGTTTAATCTTCTTCTTACACTCCTTTCGCTTACATGTAGGTACGTTCCTTAGGCGCAATTCATTATAAATTTGAAAATTTGGAAAAAGGTGAAAACAGCTGTTTCTTAGCGATAAACTTAGTCGATCATCTCTAAGTTCTCATACGATAGTTTCTGGACGTGTAGTATATGAACTTGTTTCGAGGAAGCGACTGTACTGTACTTCGTGCACACCTAAATATGTTAGCCATATAATTTTAATCTTTATTATCTTCACTTCAAGCAACTTTAGCAAATACAACTTCTGGACTTAAAACCATCTCTGCTAGAGTAACTGACAATAAGAGAAAACAGACAATAATAACATGATTTTTTACTAACAGTGACATTACTTGAATTTTAAACATTATTTCATGTGTCTGTTGACTGGGACCAAAAGCAAAGGCATGGTTTTAATGTAAAAAATTACAAAAAAATGTTAATGTGTTCGTGTTTAAAAGCGAGGTGTTCAGTTGCAGCCAAACTGTGCGGCAGCGTAACCGTCACAGTTTAACCCTTTTACGCAGCTAATACTCATCAAAGATGGAACATTCGAGTGGGACAAAATCATCGTCCGGAGGTAAAATACCCCCTCGATCCCTCCGGGAGGGTGTGCCTACTCGAGCGCATCATCGGAGAATTAAGCAGCGTCAATGTTTCACGTTTGAGGCGTGGAACGTCCGCACTCTCCTGGACAGGAGAAACTCTAATCGACCAGAAAGAAGAACTGCTCTGGTCTCACAGGAACTCCACCGGCTAAGTATAGATGTTGCCGCTCTTAGCGAAACCCGCTTTGTAGATGAAGGTAGTCTGACTAAGGAGCATTACACCTTCTTTTGGAAGGGTCACCCTGCCACACACAATAGAATTCATGGAGTAGGCATTGCTGTCAAAAACAAAATCGCCACCAGTTTAACAGAAGTGCCCACTGGAGTCTCCGAACGTCTCATGACCCTAAGGTACCCCATATCAGATAAAACTTACGTGAATATCATTAGTGCCTACGCTCCCACCCTAGCCGCTAAGGTTGAGGATAAGGATAAATTTTACCAAGATCTACAAAATGCTCTCCAACGAATTCCAAAGCAGGAGCGAATCGTCTTGCTAGGGGACTTTAATGCACGTGTCGGCAATCAGCAAGAAATATGGCCAGACGTATTGGGAAAACATGGAAAAGGAAACATAAATAGCAATGGTGAACGCTTGCTAACAACATGCACAGAGTACAACCTTTGCATCACCAATACATGGTTCAAGCTGAAAGACAAGTTTAAAGGTACCTGGAAACATCCCAGATCAGGCCACTGGCATCAATTGGACCACGTCATCGTTCGAAGGAAGCATCTGAAAGATGTCAGACTTACAAGAGCCAGAATAGATGCCGAATGTGGTACTGACTACCGACTTGTAGTTTCGAAAATGAAACTTCAATTAAAACCCAAACATCCACACTGCAAAAAGCAAAACAACATGACCAGATTAAACGTACGGAGTTTAACGAACAACGACACCGCCAACGCCCTCCGGGAAGCCATCAGAGAAGCACTTCCACCGATAACCTCAATCTCCGAACCTGAACAAGGCTGGACACAAGTGAGGGATGCGATTTATAATACCAGCGAAGAAATACTGGGAAAATCCAACAAAAAGAAACAACCAGACTGGTTTAACGAAAATCAACCACATATACAGGCTTTGTTGGAACAAAAGCATAGAGCACATCAAGCAGTCACTGCAAATCCACACAATCCAAGGCTGGTGGACAACTTTAAAGCAGCCAACAACACGCTTCGAAGAAACCTGCGCCAACTAAAGGATAACTTGTGGTCACAAAAAGCAAATCAGATTCAAGAGTACGCCGCACATCACGACTATCGTAAATTCTTCGAGGCTGTAAAAGAAGTATACGGCCCAACTAAGAACGTAAGCTGCTCAATCAAGGCACAAAACGGTGAACTTCTAAAAGAGGAAGAGCAAATCAGAAATCGCTGGAAAGAGCATTACAGCCATATCCTTAACCAAGACAATATCCCCAATATGCAAGCACTAAACACAATACCTCAGTATAACAGCATTGATGTATTAGATATCCCAATTACGGAACAGGAAATAAAGGCCTCCATAAAACAATTTAAAAACAACAAATCGGCTGGCAGTGACGCGATTTCAGCGGAAATCTATAAGTGTGCAAGCAAAGAACTTATTGGTCATCTTAAGGCTCTCTTCGATGTCATATGGGAAAGCGGAGAGGTACCTCAGGACCTTCGCAACGCGAATATAGTAAATATATTTAAGAACAAAGGAAGTGCATCAGATTGCGGAAATTACCGAGGAATTTCACTACTGGTTATCGGAGGTAAAGTTCTCGCAAAAATTATGTCAAACCGCCTGCACCCACATATAGAAAAAATCCTCCCAGAATCGCAAACGGGCTTTCGCACCAACCGTTGATTCCATATTTGGTACCGTTGATTCCATATTTGGTACCGTTGATTCCATATTTTCCGTCCGCCAACTACAGGAAAAAGTAAAGGAACAGCAGAGTAAACTTTATGTTGCATTCATCGACCTAACGAAAGCCTTCGACTCTGTAAACAGAGATGCACTTTGGACAATTATGCAAAAGTTCGGAGTGCCCAACAAATTTCTTAGTTTGTGTAAAAGCCTCCATAACAACAAGTCGAGAGTGTCACATCATGGATCAGTGAGCGATCCCTTCCTGACAAATACAGGAGTTAGGCAGGGATGTGTTCTAGCTCCTCTCCTATTCAACATATTCATGGCAGCGCTCTCTATTATAGTGGACAGCAAACCGCAGGAGAGAGGAATGGGTGTTAGATACAGGTATGACGGCGGTCTGTTCAACATAAAAAGACTCAGGGCAAAAACACGTATAAAATTCATCACGGAACTCCAATACGTTGATGACTGCGCTCTAGTTACAAATATGTTACAGCAATTACAGGAAATGCTGAACACATATACCTGGGCATACGAGACTTTGGGCATTAAACTGAACATCGATAAAACAAAAATCATGTGCACTCCCTCGGAAAACCATAACAGCGCTATAAAAATCGGAGAAGAACTATTGGTATATGTATCGGAATTTAATTACCTCGGCAGTTTGATTTCGGAAAAGGCAAGCATCGACTATGGAATTCAGCACAGAATCAGCAGCGCCTCAAGAGCATTCTGGAAATTAAAAGACAGGATTTTCTACAATCATGACTTGAGCACAAAAACGAAACTTGCAGTGTATCGAGCAGTAATAATCCCCACCATGTTATATGGAAGCGAGCCCGGGTTCCGTACCGCCGGCACACGAGCGCATTAAACAAGTTGCAACAGAGACACCTTAGACAACTTTTAAGAATCAAATGGTACCACCATGTCTCAAACGTATCAGTCCTTAAAAAAGCAAGCTGCGAGAGCGCTGAAGTCATGATTACTAAATCTCGCTTACTAAAGATGGGCTGGCCACGTATGCAGGATGCAAGAAAACCGCCTACCGAAATCTCTTCTTTACGGTGAACTTGTAGAGGGTAAGAGGAAACTGGGTGGACAACTGAAAAGATACAAGGATGCTGTTCATGAAAACTTAAAGGGGATAAGTATGCAACATCTGTGGGAGGAAGCAGCGCACGATAGAATGCAATGGAGGAGAATTGTAAATTCAGTTAATAACGACAACCAAAAAGTAAAGAGGCCACAAAGTAATGAGATTTTTGAATGTCCGGAGTGCGGAAGAGAGATAAGATCACGTATCGGGCTTTTTAGTCACAGAAAAGCTCATGACAGGAAACGCCCTGCGTAACCATCTTTTGATGCGTGTCAAATACTCGTTAGCGAGTAATGGCAGTAGTAGTAGTAGTAGTAGTTCACAGGCGAATATCTCCAAAGATCTAAAGCTATTGAGATGAACTAAAGAATAAACTATCGAGAAAAGATGCACCTGGATGATAAAATTAGTTTCAAATTTCTTGCCTTTTTAACATATTCCACAGAGTGTTCCAAACTTTCATCAAAATAACAACTTTCTGTGTTCTCTCGTATAATTGACAGATAGGAACTTCTTTTTTTTAATAAGAATGAGATACTAAAAAGTAAAATAATTTAGCTACAAATTGCTTAAAATATCATAAAAATCGGTCCACTAGAACACAATATACAGGGTGGTCCGAACTGTATTCCGGAAATTCGGCAGCATATTCTGCATATAAGTAAAAAAGATCATATAAATATAAATTCTAGGCCGGGTCCAGACCAAGGCGACAAAAAGTAAACACGATTTTGAGACAAAAACAAGACAAACTTGTCACTAAAAATAGAGACTTCTGAGAAGTCAAACTTGAGACAAATTATCCATACCGCAAGTACAAAAGTTCTGACAAAAGTACAACAAAGTCAAAAGTTTAGTTGTTGCGAA